CTTTTACCTTATTTCTTTCTTTCTTTTCCCCTTCTGCCTTCTTGAGTCTAATTCTTTTTTTTCTCGTTCCTCTTCTTCCCTTCTGCCTTCTTGTGCCTAATTATTTCTTTCTTTCTTTCAATTTCGTTTTCCAACTCTAATTCCTTCTGTCTATTTCATTTCTTTCTTACATCTTCTGCTTTTCCTTTTTTCTCTTCTTTTCCGTTTTTCTTTTCATCTTTCGTTTCTTTTTTTTTAACTCTTTCTTTTTCATACTGCTTCTTTATTATTTTCTTCTTTCTTTTCTTTTCTTCTATTGCTTTCATCGCTTTTCTTCTTTCGTTAATTTCACTTATTGAGTCTTTTTGCATCACATTCTTTCCTTCATTCATTCATTCTTTTTCTTTCTTTCTTTCTTTCTTCATTACTTACACATCCATTTCTTTCTTTTTTACTTACTCGTCTAATTCTTGCTTTCTTTCTTTTCCCTCTTTTTATTTTGCCTCTTTCCTTTTTTCTTTTCTTAATTTTCTTCTTTCTTTTCTATCTTTCGTTCTTAATCTTTTTCTTTTCTTCTTCCTTCTTTTTTCTCATTATTTTCTTTCCTCTTTTCTCCTTTTTTTTTCTTCTTCTTTCACTTCCCTTCCTTTTCTTCGTCCTGTCCTTTTTTTTCCTCTTTTCTTCGTCGTCATTACGTTTTTCCTCTTTCTTTTCCTTTTCCTTTTCTCTTCTTTCGCTTTTCTTCTTTCTTCATTTAATCATCTTTCTGATTAATTTTCCTCTTCGTCTGTCACTTCTTTCCTTTTCCCTTTCGTTTTTTTCTCTTCTTTTTCACTTCTTTCCCTTAATCTTTTTTTCTTTCTTTTCCTTTATACTCCAGCACTCTCCTCGGTATCACTACACCAGCACTTACTAATATCTGTCGGCTATCAATAAAGATCAGCTGACAAGAGATCTCAGCATTTTCCTTTTTCTTCTATTCAAGATGATTATAAAGATGATATCTTCTTGGTATTTCAATTATTTCTTGGATTTCCAGTTGTTGAATGGTTTTTTCCTTTCCTTAGATTCTTCAGAACTGTTCAAAACGCAACGATAGCCACGAATACATTTTCCTCCTCCCCATCCATCTTTTTCCTCTTCACAACAGCAACAACAACAATGTCCTTTTCTAATTTCTTTCTTTGTACACAATCCCAGATTTCCAAGCCTGTCGGAGTATAAGACGGGATTATTTCAGTGCAATAACAGTTTTCTGCACGCACACAGCTAGCATAAGAATATAAAAACACTTTACTGTACATAATCAAACACCATAGATTCTGTAGATCCAAGAATACACACACACACACACATATATATATATATAATATATATATATATATATATATATATGATAAAAATATAGTTTTAAGGTATGCTATATGAGTGCTTACTATCAGGGATAGAGCGTTTGTAAATATGCGTGTACGTAAATCTAAAATGTGGTGAGGAGTGCGTTTAAGCTGGGTGTGGATCTCAATGTTCCATTTATATATATATATATATATATATATATATATATATATATATATATACTAGCAGCAAGGCCCGGCGTTGCCCGTGCTTGATTCAAAAATCGTACGACTCATACAGCAATCGCTATCACTTAAAATATTTTTGCCCTTCCTTGACTTTAAAGGAGTGCCCTTTGCCGGGCTGATGTTGCTACATGCCTTACTTCTTGCCTATCTCACACTGCGAATTTTTTCTAGGCTCTATATTAAACATTAAATATGTTACGAAAAAAGAACTAAACAAAATGAACACAAAACTATCAGCTTTAAAAAAGGGTTCGTAAATGGAAAAACCGAATGAAAAAAGAATGTTAACAACAAATACTTTTTCACGCCCAACCCAGTTCTGCGGAATCAGAATCAACGTTGAGTTTAAACAAGCGAATGAGCCAATTAGAGTAAAGTGCCATGCAGATTTAAATTTTTCCCACTTGTGACGAATGCAGCTATCGATTTTTTTGCATGCTAACATGCTAGTTAACATTCGTGTCAGTCAGCTGTTGCCTCTCACGCTGGCCAATAGAATCTTCCTGCCTATTCGTGGCATATAGCTATAGGCTCTCACTCTGGCCAGTAGAAAATGGCCGCAAACTACATGAAAACTGCCGTAGAAGCATGAAAAACTTGATTATTTCCACTATCGATGGGAGTTGGGAAATGCAAAGGTCGGTCTTGGCCATTCCGCTAAGTTAGAGTATGTGCATGTAAATTTTGGTGCATATCCGTCGAAAATTGCGACCGTGCATTCGTTACACACACACACACACACACACACATCCGGCCTATATATATATATATATATATATATATATATATATATATATATTTCGAAAATTATAACATTAATATGTTATAAAATCACTCCAAAAATAGCCATTTTGTTTCAACACTTATATATATATATATATATATATATATATATATATATATATATTAAATATAACAGACAACGAATGTCTATTATGTTCTATCATGAACCGTTCCAAGCGTCGTATAATGGTTTTGGTTTCAATAGAAAATAAAAACAAAAACCGTCCATCATTTGGGGATTTCTTTATTATGCTCTTCCTCGATTTAAGCTTTCGGCTCAAATGAGCCATCATCAGAGCGGAATAGCAAACGCAGCTCGTAAATTCATAATGTGATTCTTTGACATCGTACATGAGAGAAAGAAATGTTATAAACAGATCAATATGTTTAAATACATTGTAATATGTTGTGACTGGTTTAAAATGAAATTTTATTGAATATGCGTTGCTTTATTTTAATGTAGATGGCCTCCAATATCTGAAGGTTCTTTTTACTGTGTGTATGTGTGAGTATGGTTGTATTATCAACTAATATCTGTCTAATATTATGTACATGGCTATATTTTTCTATAGAAGATAAAAAAAATGTGACAAATAAGTCCACTGGAAAGCTTAGTTCGACGACCAATACAATCAAGAAGTATCCGAATGTTGGACAGTTTTTTTCTTTATTTTCTCTTGAAACTAAAGTTATTATACGACGCTTGAAACGGCTTATAATCAAATATAATACGCATTCGTTGTCTGTTATATTGAACAATAAACGTTTGAACAATGATCTGCTGCCCCTATACGCTATACATATATATATATATATATATATATATATATATAGTGTATTTAGGCAGCAAGCCTTCATTTATGCATGTTTCATTAAAACGACAAGGTACTACGGTTAAGCTTTTTATTTAATTTAATTTTTTCTTGTGTCCGCACAAGAGCTTTCTTTTTTGGACACAGAGTGTGCAGAAACTGTCCGAATGTTCTATAATTTCGAGCGCTTTCGGCTATACATTTAGCTATTATCAAGGATGATTCTATTTTTCATTTTTCAGTTTGAGTGTTTGCGTTATGTGTATGCTTTTAGTGTGTTATAGAGATGTTTTATTTTCCGAACACGGTTAGCACATTGTGTCCGTGTTCGTAGTTAATATTGTTATGTGTTGTCTTTTTAATTTTATTATTAGGGGTTCCATTATTTAAAAAAGAATTCAGTTTCTACACACTCTGTTTCCCCAAAAGAAAGCTAATGTGCGAACACAATATATATATATATATATATATATATATATATATATATATATATATATAATGACGAGATTATTCAACCAGACATGCTTTGTTGAAGATATGTATAGTTTTTTGTTTTTTTTCTTACACGATTACTGTCAATTTCCAGAAAGATCATCCTCAGAAATGAATTGCAAAGAAAAACTTATTGTAACTGTGATAGTTGCGGTGGTGATCTTTGTAAACAGACGTAAACGCCTTCTGTTATAAGGAGGAGATCGACAATAATTGATAAGAAAAAACTAAGGCGCCTACCTTGATGAATTTCAAGAAGCTGATTAGAGAAATAGAAAGGATTATTATAAAATAAGTAGATATAAAATGTCTATATTATCTAATAAAATATGTTTGAATATTTACTGCCTAAATATATATATATATATATATATATATATATAAAAAATTTATGAATTATTTATTTATATATATATATATATATATATATATATATATATAAACTATTTACACACACATATATATATGTTTATGTATATGAGTAAGTTTATATATATAAATTGTATGTAAGTTTATATATATATTTATGAAGAAAAATATCGTCTAATGTTAATTATGTTTTAATAACTATGTCCTGAAGAAGGTTTACTAGACCGAAACGTCTGACGTCGAAATTGAAATAACACTAAAACAGCATATTTGCATATTCGGATTTTTGTTTTTCCATATATATTTCTTCATACTGTCGGATCTATATCCATATATTTGCTTACATATATATCTATGTAAGTTAATATATATATATATATATATATATATATAATATGTGTGTGTGTAAATTATTCATATATATATATTTGTATATGAAGTTTATATATATATATAGGACGATGTTTATATGTTTGTGTGTAAGTTTATATATATAAGATTATATATTTATATGTAAATAATTCATATATATATATATATATGAAGTTTATATATATATATATATATATATATATATAAGTTTATATATGTAAGATTATATATATATATATATATATATATATAAGTTTATATATGTAAGTACATTATATAAGTTTATATATATAAGATTATATATATATATAATGTAAATAATTCATATATATATATATATATACATATAAGTTTATATATCTAAGTAAAATTATGTAAGTTAATATATATTACACTTTATATATATATTTAATATACACACTTCTCTCGTTGGAACTACTATAACCTCTTCCTTATATATATATATATATATATATATATATATATATATATATATATATATATTAGTGTAAAATAAGCCGAAAGAAAGGAAATTGTAAAAAAAAGCCGAGCGCTTAGTATCACTAAACAGATTTTATATAGCAATAAAATAACTTTTTAAAAGGGCAAAATGCTTCAACCTGCCACATCCCCGTCTTACCCGCAATTTTAATCGTTAGCTGGTGAAATTTGACGATCACAAGAGCATGAAACTTGGAGTCATGGTAGGTTAAAACACTTTGCCCTTTTGAAACGCTATTTTATATATATATACACACAAATACATATGTGTATGTATCGTGAGTCTGTGTGTTTAAACTTCAGGTATAAATAAGCTATATCTGTAAAAAGTCAGTCTGAACAGAAACCAAATGAAAACCTAACAATAATTTTTACTTCTGTCTATAAATACACGTTTCAAAATAAATTAACATTTGCCTTGATAAAGTCCATCAGAGAACGAAATTCGTGGATAAAATTTTTTTTTTTTTTATTCATATATATATATATATATATATATATATATATATCAAAATGATTTCCCGTGCGACTCAGGGAATTTAATATACATAATTACATACAAAGGTTGCCACGAGAATTACATTGGCGAAACCGGCCAGTCACTTCAGCAAAGGATGACAGTTCATCGCCAACAAATTAGGGACCTCCACACCAGAAAAATACCCCTTAGCCAACATACAGAGTAAAGCGAAGGACAGAATCTGTCAAATTTTAGTATATTCTCATTCTACCAGTGCGACTACAGAACAAAAAGGCGGATTAATAAAGAAACGATTTTCATCAACAAGTTCAAAACCATTGCATAAATAGATTCTACCAAATTCCCCTTACCATAAACAACATATATAGCCAGTTACGCCCCTTGATTTCATTTTTTTTTTCAGAGGTATAA